TCCTAAATAATACTGTGGAATAATTTTTTTGTTGAGGTAAAATCTATAAATGTAAAAATACATATTTTTGCTCTTTGAAGCCATTTTTTGTTTTCTTATTTTCAGAAATATAATTTCCAGCCTAAGGATAGGATACTTTGGGTGTTTTCTGGGATGGGGATGGAAAAGTAAATTGCCTTTCTTGTTGGTATCATTAACCCTCTTCGGCTGTAAGGTAGAGCCATGGTCCCTTATCGGTTCTACGTCATGAGTTTGGCTCATGATGTTTGTACCTTCGATAAGCTATGAGTGGTAAATTTTGGCCTAGATTTGAGAGAAGGGGTCTTTATAGTGAGTGTGCACAGTATAAAAAAAAAAAAAAAATCCTAAGAATTTAAATGTGTTTCATGTGAAAATTTTTTTTTTTTTCACAAGTCGGCCGTCTCCCACCGAGGCAGGGTGACCCAAAAAAGAAAGAAAATCCCCAAAAAGAAAATACTTTCATCATTCAACACTCACACATTATCACTGTTTTTGCAGAGGTGCTCAGAATACAACAGTTTAGAAGCATTTCAATATAAAGATACACAACATATCCCTCCAAACTGCCAATATCCCAAACCCCTCCTTTAAAGTGCAGGCATTGTACTTCCTATTTCCAGGACTCGAGTCCGACTATATGAAAACTGGTTTCCCTGAATCCCTTCACTAAATATTACCCTGCTCACACTCCAACAGATAGTCAGGTCCCAAGTAGCATTCGTCTCCATTCACCCCTATCTAACACGCTCACGCACGCTTGCTGGAAGTCCGAGCCCCTTGCCCACAAAACCTCCTTTACCCCCTCTCTCCAACCCTTTCGAGGACGACCCCTGCCCCTCCTTCCTTTCGTCCCCTATAGATTTATATGCTTTCCATGTCATTCTACTTGGATCCATTCTCTCTAAATGACCAAGCCACCTCAACCCCTCTTCTGCCCTCTGACTAATACTTTTATTAACTCCACCCCTTTTCCTAATTTCCACACTCCAAATTTTCTGCATAATATTTACACCACACATTGCCCTTAAACAGGACATCTCCACTGCCTCCAACCGTCTCCTTGCTGCTGCATTTACCACCCAAGCTTCACACCCATATAAGAGTGTTGGTACTACTATACTTTCATACATTCCCTTCTTTGCCTCCATAGATAACTTTTTTTGACTCCACATATACCTCATTGCACCACTCACCTTTTTTCCTTTATCAATTCTATGATTAACCTCATCCTTCATAAATCCATCCGCCGACACGTCAACTCCCTAGTATCTGAAAACATTCACTTCTTCCATACTCCTCCCCAATTTGATATCCAATTTTTCTTTATCTAAATCATTTGATACCCTCATTGCTCTTGGGAGATTCTGAAGAGAAGTTGCAGAGATTGGTGGATGAATTTGGTAGGGTGTGCAAAAGAAGAAAATTAAAGGTGAATACAGGAAAGAGTAAGGTTATGAGGATAACAAAAAGATTAGGTGATGAAAGATTGAATATCAGATTGGAGGGAGAGAGTATGGAGGAGGTGAACGTATTCAGATATTTGGGAGTGGACGTGTCAGCGGATGGGTCTATGAAAGATGAGGTGAATCATAGAATTGATGAGGGAAAAAGAGTGAGTGGTGCACTTCGGAGTCTGTGGAGACAAAGAACTTTGTCCTTGGAGGCAAAGGGGGGAATGTATGAGAGTATAGTTTTACCAACGCTCTTATATGGGTGTGAAGCGGGGTGATGAATGTTGCAGCGAGGAGAAGGCTGGAGGCAGTGGAGATGTCATGTCTGAGGGCAATGTGTGGTGTGAATATAATGCAGAGAATTCGTAGTTTGGAAGTTAGGAGGAGGTGCGGGATTACCAAAACTGTTGTCCAGAGGGCTGAGGAAGGGTTGTTGAGGTGGTTCGGACATGTAGAGAGAATGGAGCGAAACAGAATGACTTCAAGAGTGTATCAGTCTGTAGTGGAAGGAAGGCGGGGTAGGGGTCGGCCTAGGAAGGGTTGGAGGGAGGGGGTAAAGGAGGTTTTGTGTGCGAGGGGCTTGGACTTCCAACAGGCATGCGTGAGCGTGTTTGATAGGAGTGAATGGAGACAAATGGTTTTTAATACTTGACGTGCTGTTGGAGTGTGAGCAAAGTAACATTTATGAAGGGATTCAGGGAAACCGGCAGGCCGGACTTGAGTCCTGGAGATGGGAAGTACAGTGCCTGCACTCTGAAGGAGGGGTGTTAAGGGAGCATGTGGGCAATTTTCCGCGCGCGCTCAACCAAAAATCGAAAAATTATGGAAATTGAGTTATATATACCAAAAAATAGCTTAACTCTTTGGCAACACAATGGTACAAGAATCAATGTTCTAAGACGTTTCTACAAGAAATTAGTCATTTATATCAGGTATGGTAACGACGATGTAGGTAGCGCGTCTGTTCTCAACCCAAGTAATTTTTGGAATTTTTTCCTTGTTTTTTATTGCTTTTTCTTTGCATTATTCTTTCTAATATAATAATTGATTATTTGGCATCATATAAGAGTAGGTGGAGCTGATCAGTAGAGTGCCAGCCAATAGGGAGCCATCTGAGAACACTCTGCAGTACTCCCCCTCCAGATAGTGCCAGGTGAAATCACTTCATTATTACGTTTATATCAGCTTATATATCAACTATACGGCTTATTTATCTATCAGAATTGATCTAATATGATATAATAAACACTATAAATAACAAACAAACATGTTATATACTCTAGACTGAATAAAATAGGCCATAATATAGCGAGAGTCCACCAGCAATATTTCGATATAAATGAGTTACTCCTGGTCTCCTTGTTCTATTGTTTGGTATGTGAGTGATAGAAAACGGTGTTTTGAAGAGGATAACTGCACTAGAACATCAGTTTACTAAGAAATACACCAAAAAAAACCCGATTTCCGCGCAAAAAAAAAAATTTTTGAGACGGTAGGCCTGCCGACGTTTTCTAGGCCTATATCTCGGAAGTAACTTTTTCACATATTTCGCTAAAGTACACCATTATTAATGATTGTATTGAAATGATTTTCACTGACAATATAAAACAAGGTGTGTTTGAAAATCTGATGATTCTTTTTTTGGAATATATCAAATATTTTTGATTTTGTGGGAGGTAAAAGGCAGATATTTTGGTGAATGCAAAAAAGTCTTATCAAATGTATTTTTTTTTTTCCATGATAATAAGATATATTAGATGAAACATGTGCATCCAAAATTAGTGTCAGATGTATTCTAACGGTTGGGATTGTCGGAAGTGCCACTCGAAGTGCCATTTTGTCATACTTTGCTGCCATATATGAAGTCACTGAAATATTTTTTTTCTCTGTTGTTTGTTGGCCAATCATACTGAAACTTTGTCACATTCTTCTACATATGAACCTCTAAATGTACACAAAAAATAAAAAAAATTGGTTGAAAAATAAAAGAGTTGGCAAAATCAGGGGGGGTACCCTTAATGTTGCAGTTTAAAAACTGTAGTGTAAAGCACCCTTCTGGCAAGACAGTGATGGAGTGAATGATGGTGAAAGTTTTTCTTTTTCGGGCCACCCTGCCTTGGTGGGAATCGGCCGGTGTGATAATAAAAAAAAAAAAAAAAAAAAAAAAAAAATTACCTTACTCTTTTCTATGTTCACTTTCAACTTTCTACCTTTACACACATTACCAAACTCATCCACTAACCTTTGCAATTTTTCTTTAGAATCTCCCATAAGCACAGTATCATCAGCAAAAAGTAACTGTGTCAATTCCCATTTTGAATTTGATTCCCCAAAATTTAATCCCACCCCTCTCCGAACACCCTAGAAATTTACTTCCTTTACAACCCATCTATAAATATATTAAACAACCATGGTGACATTACACATCCCTGTCTAAGACCTACTTTTACAGGGAAGTAGTCTCCCTCTCTTCTACACACCCTAACCTGAGCCTCACTATCCTCATAAAAACTCTTTACAGCATTTAATAACTTACTACCTATTCCATATACTTGCAACATCTGCCACATTGAACCTCTATCCACTCTATCATATGCCTTTTCTAAATCCATAAATGCAATAAAAACTTCCCTACCTTTATCTAAATACTGTTCACATATATGCTTCAATGTAAACACTTGATCTACACATCCCCTACCCACTCTGAAACCTCCTTGCTCATCCGCAATCTTACATTCTGTCTTGCCTCTAATTCTTTCAATTATAACCCTACCGTACACTTTTCCTGGTATACTCAGTAAACTTATTCCTCTATAATTTTTAGTCTTTTGTCCCCTTTCCCTTTATATAAAGGGACTATACATGCTCTCCGCCAATCCCTAGGTACCTTCCCCTCTTTCATACATTTATTAAACAAAAGTACCAACCACTCCAACACTATATCTCCCCCATATCTCCCCCTGCTTTTAACATTTCTGTCATGATCCCATCAGTTCCAGCTGCTTTACCCCCTTTCATTCTACGTAATGCCTCACGTACCTCCACCACACTTACATTCTGCTCTTCACTCCTAAAAGATGGTATACCTCCCTGACCAGTGCATGAAATTACTGCCTCTTTCTTCCTTAACATGTGCAAATGTTTTTGATTATTTTTGGGTCCAGTAAGACTTCTGAACCCAAATATCACTACATGTACTGATGTTTAAATTGTGGATAATTCTGAATATCAAGGAATATTGAATTGCTGACTTGTAGGGGAAAGCAAAATATATTTTGAGAAGTTAAAACTTTTGATGGTATTAATTAAAATTTACCAAGTTCCAAATAGACTACTGGGCAAGTGCTGTAACCTTTAAATTATGCAAATTTAATGTATGTTATTCTTTAAAGTTTATTTTCAAGATTTTTTATTATAACATTGTAAATTTTGTTCACTAATTATTTTCTTTTTTTTATCTCACTGGCCCATTCCCACCAAGGCAGGGTGGCCTGAAAAAGAAAAACTTTCACCATCATTCACTCCATCACTATCTTGCCAGAAGGGTGCTGTACACTACAGTTTTTAAACTGCAACATTAACACCCCTCCTTCAGAGTGGAGGCACTGTACTTCCCATCTCCAGGACTCAAGTCCGACCTGCCGGTTTCCCTGAACCCCTTCATAAATGTTACTTTGCTCACACTCCAACAGCACGTCAAGTATTAAAAACTATTTGTCTCCATTCACTCCTATCAAACACGCTCATGCATGCCAGCTGGAAGTCCAAGCCCCTCGCACACAAAACCTCCTTTACCTCCTCCCTCCAACTTTTCCTAGGCCGACCCCTACCCCTCCTTCCACTACAGACTGATGCACTCTTGAAGTCATTCTGTTTCGCTCCATTCTCTCCACATGTCCGAACCACCTCAACAACCTTTCCTCTGCCCTCTGGACAACAGTTTTGGTAATCCCGCACCACCTCCTAACTTCCAAACTTCAAATTCTCTGCATTAGATTCACAACACACATTGCCCTCAGACATGACATCTCCACTGCCTCCAGCCTTTCCTCGCTGCAACATTCATCACCCATGCTTCACACCCATATAAGAGCGTTGGTAATACTATTCTCTCATACATTCCCCTCTTTGCCTCCAAGGACAAAGTTCTTTGTCTCCACAGACTCCTAAGTGCACCACTCACCCTTTTCCCCTCATCAATTCTATGATTCACCTCATCTTTCATAGACCCATCCGCTGACATGTCCACTCCCAAATATCTTGAATACATTCACCTCCTCCATACTCCCTCCAATCTGATATCCAATCTTTCATCACCTAATCTTTTTGTTATCCTTATAACCTTACTCTTTCCTGTATTCACTTTTAATTTTCTTTTGCCCACCCTCCTAAATTCATCCACCAATCTCTGCAACTTCTCTTCAGAATCTCCCAAGAGTAGTGTCATCAGCAAAGAGCAACTGTGACAACTCCCACTGTGTGATTCTTTATCTTTTAACTGCTCACCTCTTGCCAAGACCCTCGTATTTACTTCTCTTACAACCCATCTATAAATATATTAAACAACCATGGTGACATCACACATCCTTGTCTAAGGCCTACTTTTACTGGGAAATAATTTCCCTCTTTCCTACATACTCTAACTTGAGCCTCACTATCCTCGTAAAAACTCTTCACTGCTTTCATTAACCTACCTCCTACACCATGCACCTGCAACATCTGCCACATTGCCCCCCTATCCACCCTGTCGTACGCCTTTCCCAAATCCATAAATGCCACAAAGACCTCTTTAGCCTTATCTAAATACTGTTCACTTGTATGTTTCACTGTAAACACCTGGTCCACACACCCCCTACCTTTCCTAAAGCCTCCTTGTTCATCTGCTATCCTATTCTCCATCTTACTCTTAATTCTTTCAATAATAACTCTACCATACACTTTACCAGGTATACTCAACAGACTTATCCCCCTATAATTTTTGCACTCTTTTGTCCCCTTTGCCTTTATACAAAGGAACTATGCATGCTCTCTGCCAATCCCTAGGTACCTTACCCTCTTCCATACATTTATTAAATAATTGCTCCAACCACTCCAAAACTATATTCCCACCTGCTTTTAACATTTCTATCTTTATCCCATCAATCCCAGCTGCCTTACCCCCTTTCATTTTACCTACTGCCTCACGAACTTCTCCCACACTCAAAACTGGCTCTTCCTCACTCCTACAAGATGTTATTCCTCCTTGCCCTATACACGAAATCACAGCTTCCCTATCTTCAACATTTAACAATTCCTCAAAATATTCCCTCCATCTTCCCAATACCTCTAACTCTCCATTTAATAACTCCCCTCTCCTATTTTTAACTGACAAATCCATTTGTTCTCTAGGCTTCCTTAACTTGTTAATCTCACTCCAAAACTTTCTCTTATTTTCAACAAAATTTGTTGATAACATCTCACCCACTCTCTCATTTGCTCTCTTTTTACATAGCTTCACCACTCTTAACCTCTGTCTTTTTCTCCATATACTCTTTCCTCCTTGCATCACTTCTACTTTGTAAAAACTTTTCATATGATAACTTTTTCTCCCTTACTACTCTTTACATCATTCCACCAATCGCTCCTCTTCCCTCCTGCACCCACTTTCCTGTAACCACAAACTTCTGCTGAACACTCTTAACACTACATTTTTAAACCTACCCCATACCTCTTCGACCCCATTGTCTATGCTCTCATTAGCCCATCTATCCTCCAATAGCTGTTTATATCTTACCCTAACTGCCTCCTCTTTTAGTTTATAAACCTTCACCTCTCTCTTCCCTGACGCTTCTATTCTCCTTGTATCCCATCTACCTTTTACTCTGTGTAGCTACAACTAGAAAGTGATCTGATATATCTATGGCCCCTCTCCAGGTAAACATGTACATCCTGAAGTCTACTCAACAGTCTTTTATCTACCAATACATAATCCAACAAACTACTGTCATTTCGCCCTACATCATATCTTGTATACTTATTTATGCTCTTTTTCTTAAAATATGTATTACCTATAACTAAACCCCTTTCTATACAAAGTTCAATCAAAGGGCTCCCATTATCCTTTACACCTGGCACCCCAAACTTACCTACCACACCCTCTAAAAGTTTCTCCTTCTTTAGCATTCAGGTCCCCTGCCACAATTACTCTCATTTTTTCAAAGGCTCCTATACATTCACTTAACATCTCCCAAAATCTCTCTCTCTCCTCTGCATTCCTCTCTTCTCCAGGTGCATACACACTTATTATGACCCACTTTTTCGCATCCAACCTTTACTTTCATCCACATAATTCTTGAACTTACACATTCATATTCTCTTTTCTCCTTCCATAACTGATCCTTCAACATTACTGCTACCCCTTCCTTTGCTCTAACTCTCTGATACTCCAGATTTAATCCCATTTATTTCCCCCCACCGAAACTCCCCTACCCCCTTCAGCTTTTTCGCTTAGGGCCAGGACATCGAACTTCTTTCCATTCGTAACATCAGCAATCATCTGTTTCTTGTCATCCGCACTACATCCATGCACATTCAAGCATCCTAATTTTATAAAGTTTTTCTTCTTTTTTAGTAAATGTCTACAGGAGAAGGGGTTAATAGCCCATTGCTCCCGACATTTTAGTCGCCTCATACGACACGCATGGCCTACGGAGGAAAGATTCTTTTCCACTTCCCCATGGACAATAGAAGAAATAAAAAAGAACAAGAGCTATATAGAAAAAGAAGAAAAACCTAGATGTATGTATATATATATATGCATGTGCAAGTCTGTGAAGTGTGACCAAAGTGAAAGTAGGAGTAGCAAGATATCCCTGTTATCTAGCATGTTTATGAGACAGAAAAATAAACCAGCAATCCGACCATCGTGCAAAACAGTTACAGGTTTCTGTTTCACAGTCATCTGGCAGGACGGTAGTACTTCCCTGGGTGGTTGCTGTCTACCAACCTATTACCTAATTATGATGTATTAGAATCCAACTCTTAAGCCTTCAAGCAGTAAGGTTGTACTGTGGAAAAAAAAAATCTGAAGCTATATCCTTTATGCTATTTCATTTTGGTTTAGTTTATATAATAATTTGCTTAAAAATATATTCCAGGAGGTGGCTGAAATAAGATGTTGGAAGCAAAATTACAAGTATAAGCCAAGTCTCCATGTTCATTCTGTGCAGGTAATCTTCCCTGAAAGTATTACATATTCCCATCAGGGATCTAGATGTTTAGTTGGACTTGTTTATTTGTTTGTCTTGCACATTTTCTATAAGGTTCTCTGTACATGAAATTTATTAACTCATAAATTCTAAACATTTTTTTTCTAATGATGTATTCAATGAAACTCTCAAGCCTTCAAGCAGTAAGGTTTTACTGTGGAAAAAATTAAGCTGAAATTATATCTTTTATACAATTTAATTTAGGTTTTCTTTATATAATATAGTTGACTTTATATACTGTATTTCAGGAGGAGTTGACTGAAAAGTCAAAATGTTTGATTGATAATAAATAAAATTTTAAGTATGAACATTGTCTTCATATTCAGTCTATGCTGGTAATCTTCTCTGGAAGTAGTGACATGCAGGATTCACACTGCCAGGTAAGGGAAAATTTTTAATCCATGAAATATAGTATATTGTAATTATATACTTTTGGGATAGTCAGATTTTGAGAACGAGTTTTGATGTATTCCAATAAATCTCAAGCATTCAGGGAAGTAGTGTTAGTGTTCATGTGTTTGTATTTGAAGAATGGTATAAACAAGAATTTTATATACACAAGTCTTGCTAGGAATTTATTGTATTTCACTTTGCCTCAAATTCAGCAGTGGAAAGGCCATACCAGACTGGGCGAAATACTGGTGTGAAATTGCTCGGTGACAGTTGGTACTGTTGGTATGTTGCTGCTGCTTTGAGTGGAATGTAAAGCTGTATATCATTCACTGAACAATGTAAGAAACAAAATCACTTGGTTTGGATATAATAGTAAAAAAAAAATTAACTGCTGTATATGATGATTTAACACTTGAAACCCGAGACTATATGTTGACAGATTTTGCTGATCATTTGAGAGGGACTTTAAATTGAAGATACATTTTTGACCCCTATGTAAAGAAAAATTGTTCTTCAGGTATGGAGTGAACTACAGCATATCTTTGCATCTGAAATTTGACCTCATGTGCTGAGTGATGTTAGAGGCTTTGCAATGAAATCTACATATATATTAGAAGGTAAAGCTTGATGAATGTCTGCTTTTCAGAATTGTTGCTGGATTATTTTTTAACAGTTATAGTTAATCGTTAAAGCATTTCCTAAAATTTACATAATCTCTAGCCACCCAGGTCTGTGGTAGTTATAATTTCTTTTGTAATTTATGAATAGCATTTTTTGTAGCAGATTTTCTATGTACAAGGCTCTGTACATGAAATTCATGAAAAGATTCATAGAATGCTGAATGTATTGGCATGTAAGCTGGAATGATATTTTGGTACAGTAAAACTTCTGAAGTATTATAGTGTTTAACCCTTTCAGGGTCCGTCCCGTAGATCTACGGCTTTACGTTCAGGGTCCAAACCGTAGATCTACGCCACGAGCTCAGCTCACTCTGATAAACTGTGAGTGGTACATTTGGGCCTAGATATGAGAGAATACATCTATGTGGTATGTGTGCACCACATAAAACAGATTCTGCAGCACACTGTGTATAATGAGAGAAAAAAACTTAAATCATGATTTTTCGATTAAAACAGCAACTTTGCAGTGTTTTTTCGTATGTTTTTTATAGTTGTATTTGCGATTTCTTGGTCTCATTTGATAGAATGGAAGACATATTACAGAAATAGAGATGATTTTGATTGGTTTTAGCATTGGAAATGGCTTGAAACTGAGCTCAAAGTAGTGGAAATGTTAAATTTTTGCCGATATTCAAGAGTAAACAAACGACCTCACGTCTAATACACATCAGCTGGTGGGTCTAATATACATTCACAAATATGGTGATGATATTTATACAATTATTACAGTATTGCATAACAGTAAATCTTCTATTTTTTGGTGTGAATAAAAATTCATTGTGAATAAAAAATCAAAATGGAATTTATTTGTAAAGCCTCAAAACATAACTAATGAACAGAGGAAACGTTAGTTTAGTGCCAGGAATGCCTACATTGTTTATTCTGGACCCTATTTTGAAATTGGAATATTTTGAACTTTGTGTTAAATTGGCCAAATTAACAATTTCCGATTACTTTATTTTGTAGTTAAAACAGTTGACTTGGCGATTTCTTGTGCTCAATCGATAGAATAGAAGTAATACTAGTGAAATGGCTAAGAATTTGGTTGATTGGAATAATGTAATTGGCCTAAAATGGGAGTCAAAGTTGGCAAAATCGCCGATTCGTAAATGTTGCTGACACATCAAAATTCGCGAGAGCATAATTTCGTCAATTTTCCACCAAATTTCGTACTTTTTGTTTTATTACCTTCACAAAAAGATTCTCTACGATTTCATAAGAAAAAATAACTTTTTTTTTTTTGAAAATTCTTGGACACTGATGCGTGACTCCAGATTTGGCCTTGGACCCTGAAAGGGTTAACCCTTTGACTGTCAAAACCCCAAATCCTGAGGTGTCTCCTGGTATCACAAAATATTGGAGAAAAAAAAAATTCTTAAGAAATGATAGAGAATCTTTTCCTGATGGTAATGACACCAAAAGTACGAAATTTGATGGAAAGCTTGCAGAATAACGCTCTCGCGAAGCTAGCAACCTTCGGCGATATTTATGAATTGGTGATTTCGCCCATTTTGAGCCCTGTTTTCGGCTAATTCCATTGTTCCAGTCAACCAAACTCATAACTATTTCTTAAGAACTCCATTTGTTCTATTGATTGAGTACAAGAAACTGCCCATTTACCGATTTCGGCTACCCAATAAAGTGGTCAGAAATTGCAATTTGGCCAATTTCACGCAAATAAAAAAAATGCCAATTTCAAAATAGGATCCAGAATGAACAATGCAGACATTTTTCTTTGTTCATCAGTCACATCTCCAGGCCCCTCTGATATTACTCTTGCTTTTTATTTTGAATTTTTATTCAAACCAAAAATAGAAGATTTACTGTTATGCAGACTACTGCAATATTGTAATAATTGTATAAATAACATCAACCCATTCATGACTGCATATTAGAATGGCTAGTTGGACATTTATTGGACAATGACATTGTTTACTCTTGAACATCGGAAAAAAATCAAACATTTTTCCTACTTTAAGCTCCAATTCAGTCATTTTCATAGTAAAACCAATCAAAATCACCTCTTATTTCTATAATGTTTACCGATCTATTAAATGTGACTACGAAAATGAGAACATACCCATAAAAACTATGTGAAAATACACCTCAAAGTCGACGCTTTAATCCAAAATACAGTAGTTTTTTTTCTCATGCACTGCGTGCTGCAGGATTGTTTTTATATGGTGCACACTGACCAAACAGACCCATTCTCACACTTGGGCCTACCAGCTTTCTCCTGCTTGATTTGAAGCCACTAGAATTTTTGAGTATACGTCAAACATTGTGGCTCATAAGACTTATATATATGACCGAAACGGTGAAAGGGTTAAATTACTGATAATTTTTGAATGTTGTGAATATAGAATTGCTTACTTGTAGGGAAAACAAAATCCTAACTGATGAACTAAACTTTTTATGGTATTCATAGTAATTTCAAGTTTTTTTGGGATGATTCATTTTCCCCATTCTGGATTATTCTGAAAGTTTCAGTTAAGAGTCTGCTGTACAAGAAACCTTAAATTATGCAAATTTTGGGCACGTTATGCTTATTTTCAAAGATTTTTTTCTTCTCGGGAACTATATTTTTAAAGTTTTGTTTTTATGATGTATTCAATGAAACTCTCAAGCGGTAAGGTTATACTGTGGAACACATGAAACTGAAATCATATCCTTCATATTTAATTTAGATCTAGTTTGTGTAATATAGTGTAATTGAATTTAAATACTATATATTCCAGGAGGAGTTTCCTGAACGATAAGATGTTGGGAGTAAAATTAAAAGTATAAATATTAGTCATGTTCGGTCTCTGAAGGTATTCTCTCTGGAAGTAGCGTAATACTATGCAGGATTAACACAACCAGGTAAGAGAAAACATGATATTTTTCATACATAGTGATCCTTGAGTTACTTACCCTAATAAAGGAACTTAGTTTTGATTTTATGAAAAATTAGTAAAGCATATGATAGTTGGCCTGTGAGAGTGGGCCTCGACCCCTTGACAAGACTGGGTGATGTAAAGTTCTTAAATGGAGTGATAGTTGAGGGTGTGTTGGAAGAGTAGAATGGGAATGGGTGGTGGGTGGAAGGCATTGAGAGGGAGGGAGGGAGACTGTGCTTGTACCATAACTGGGCAACAGGAGACAGCAACTGAAGAATGAGAACATTTTCTCTCCACTTCTTTCCCTGCCTTTAACTTAGCCTGCTTGCCCAACCCTGTCCTGTCCTGCCTGCTCTGCCCCTCCTGCTCTACCTTGCTCTGCGTGCTTCAGCCTGCCCTGCCTTGTGCTCTTCCTTACCCTACCTCCCTGGCCTTCATAGTCCAATGTGGTCTGCCTTCCCTTGCCTGCCTTAGGAAGATGCTGTTGTTCATTCCACAGAAAGAATTTTTTTTTATCATTCTCTGTAGATTCAAATAAAAAAGCTAGTCATAATCTTGCTATCATGATGAACTTTGACTTTCAGAGGTTTGTGATGCATATTGAACTCTCTCACTGAATGAATTGATGTAACTTACTTCATCAGGATACTTGGATAAGATATCACGAGACTTATTTCTTTTACAGACATGTGAACCAACTAGATAATACTCAGGAAGCAGGCCATCCAATATACTCAGGTAATGTTTGATAACTATATCAGCCATTGTTAGCAATGCTAGACCCTTGACTGCATAACTTGTTACCTGATGTGTTGATTCTGTCCTTGATGTATACAGCCTCGCCTCTTCTCACTTAACGTACTCATTTACTGATGCCTCGGTCTTTCGATGGGCTCTCTGACCAGTATGCATACCTAAATAATGTATATTATAGCTAGTTCTATTCTGTTTATTACAGTATACAGTACACTACTGTATAACATTTAAGAATATACTAGAAATGTTATGAATGGTGCAAAGGTGACATTAAAACATCATGAGAGATGGTTGACAAACCCACTACTACTATAGTAACGATGAATTCATTTACCGATGTGGTCTTGGGAATGGAACTTTGTCGTTAAGTGAGGAGGGGCTGTACTAAAATGTTTTCCAATATGTCCTTGTGTATTTGATGCCTGTTCATGGTTGAAACATTGTACATACATTTTCCTATGTATTGTATCTTATTTTTTAAATTCTAGTGTATTCTGAATAGTAACTTTGCTAGTGTTAAATTATTATGTATTAGTGCTGTTTTGTTTTAGGTTTCAGTATAAATGATGTCAATATTTTTTGTCTCCTAAATAATACTGTGGAATAATTTTTTTGTTGAGATAAAATCTATAAATGTAAAAATACATATTTTTGCTCTTTGAAGCCATTTTTTTTCTTATTTTCAGAAATATAATTTCCAGCCTAAGGATAGGATACTTTGGGTGTTTTCTGGGATGGGGATGGAAAAGTAAATTGCCTTTCTTGTTGGTATCATTAACCCTCTTCGGCTGTAAGGTAGAGCCATGGTCCCTTACTTGGTTCTACGTCATGAGCTTGGCTCATGATGTATTGTACCTGTCTGATAAGCTATGAGTGGTAAATTTTGGCCTAGATTTGAGAGAATGAGTCTTTATAGTGAGTGTGCACAGTATAAAAAAAAAAAAAAATCCTAAGAATTTTAAATGTGTTCATGTGCAATTTATTTTTTTTCAACAAGTCGGCCGTCTCCCACCAAGGCAGGGTGACCCAAAAAAGAAAGAAAATCCCCGAAAAGAAAATACTTTCATCATTCAACACTCACACATTATCACTGTTTTTGCAGAGGTGCTCAGAATACAACAGTTTAGAAGCATACACATATAAAGATACACAACATATCCCTCCAAACTGCCAATATCCCAAACCCCTCCTTTAAAGTGCAGGCATTGTACTTCCTATTTCCAGGACTCGAGTCCGACTATGAAAATAACTGGTTTCCCTGAATCCCTTCACTAAATATTACCCTGCTCACACTCCAACAGA